TTGTTCTGTCTCCTGCTGGAAGCTCCGTGAAGCTGCTTTCTCATACCTCCTATTTGCCAATCTCTGATAGGAATCCAAGATGGCGGATTCGCGCTGCGTTAGCTGATAGAGGACCGCTGCATGAATCTCTCCTCACTGTCTGTTCTCTTGTCAGTTTTCTTACTCCATTGGTCCTTGGCTGAGTTCTTTATCTCTTCATTTTATGTTTTAGGGTTTCAGGATTGCTGTTTTCTTTGGGATAGTTTTTCGAATCTTTGCTGTGGAGGGATGGCGTTGTGCTTCTGCCTAGAGCACCTTGTTGCTGGAAGATACTTCAGTTTTCAAAATGTTTGATACATGTTTTATTTTACTGACAGTCACGTGTTGTTGTGTGCCTTCGAGTCAGTTCTGATTCTTAGTGACCCTGTTTGACAGAGTAGAACTGCCGCATAGAATTTCCAAGGCTGTAATCTTTACGGGAGCAGATCACCAGGTTTTTCTCAAAGCAGCTGGCAGGTTTGAACCATCAACGTAACAACTAACCATTGTGCCACCAGGGCTCTTTGTAACAATCATATAGTCTGTACTCATATCACTTCTCCCAAACACTTTTACTTCTAGCTTTAGTGATAAACATATTTAACATTCAAGGTCATGTGGGGTCCACTACTGATAAAATATATACAAATAAAAAGTCAACGAGATAGAATTTTTCATCTGTACAGTTGACTAAGAACATGAAGGCAAAACTGCACAGTATTAGGCATTCGTATCTGAAAATATTACCGTGTTGTACAATAGTTGATGTTTATAATTTGACCACAGGTCATCATGAAGAAGTTAAATAGTAGTTGTAATATATAACAGCAGAAGGTCACATATACCTCATAAATTCATGCACAAAGACAAAAGAATATGTAATACTTTTAAAGTAAGTTTTAAGTCTTCAAGGATTAATGTCTTTTTTTCTGGAAAAGTAACTCATCCAAATCTCATCAATCTCTTATCATTCCAGCTAAGATGCCGTTATAATTATGTGTATGTGAAAATGAGGATATGTTCGCCTCCTGTGCTCCCTAATTGCATCTGAGTGCTTTTCTAGTCACCGAGACTGGAAATGTCAGCATGATCTTTTTAATTTATCCTTTTTCCTTTGCTGCCCACTTCCTGTCAGTTCTCTTCTGTCAATTCTTATAGCTTAATGACCCTGCCATGGATTTCTTCCTTACCTCCTACCACTCCCTGGTTTAAGCCTTCATTATTATTATTTTTTTTCATTACTTTTTATGTGGTTTTTTGCATTAACCTCAATCCAGTTCACTAAACACTATGTGGATGCCTTATATGTTTGCTTTGCCTTGCCTTTAGCATCTCTATCTTAAAGACAGCAAAATTATATGCTTTTAGGAGCCATAATCAATAGTGATGGGGAAGAGACTGGTAAATTCCAATTCCTGTCCCATCTATGCATGTCCGGGGGATTGTTGTCATGCTGAAATGTGGTCCCAGTGTTGCCAAATCTTCTAGAGTTGTAAGAGAAGCTGGAAATTCATATGTTTATGTGAAATCTTAAGATTTTTTTCACCTTTGTTCTAGATACTTCCCCAGCAAAAAGGAGATTTACATTTTAATATATTAAAGATCAGGAAACAAGTATGTTTTAGAGTCTGTACTCCTTAGTCTGGCCTAAGAGCTCTTTACTACTTGATTCCAGTCTAGCATTCACCGATGTCAGAAAGAATGTGTTACTTTTTCACTTTGGTGTTCACTTGGGCTATTCACTTAGCCTTGAATGCCCCCATGTTGTTGCCCTCCTCACTCAATTCATCTTTTCCCTAGCCTTCTAGTCTTCATTTCTGTGACAATATGTTATACCTCTGTTATAAAGTTATTATTTTGATCAGATGGAATCTGACTTGTGCATTAAACTAGGACCTCCTTGAGGACAAGGACTTAATGCTTATACCGGGTACCTAGTACAGTGCCTAGTGGATGACTGAATGAGTGACTGAGTGACTAACTGAAGGCAGATAGGGATGCAGTTGGGTGTTGTAGATACAATAGTTTTCTAACTGGTCTTCATGTCTGTAGTCACCTTTAATCTGTTCCATATATCCTTATTTGTGCAAGCTTCCTGGAGCGTATCTTTGTACATGTTAATTTTTACTGTACTTTAGATGAAGGTTTACAGAACAAATAGTTTCTCATTAAACAGTTAGTACACATATTGTTTTATGACAATGGTTAACAACCCCATGACATGTCAACACTGTCCCTTCTCAATCTTGGGTTCCCTATTACCAGCTTTCCTGTCCCTCTTGCCTTCTGGTCCTTGTCCCTGGACTGTTGTGCTTCATTAGTCTGGTTTTGTTTAATGGGGCTGTCTCATCTTTGGCTGAATGGTGAACCTTGGGAGTGAATTCATAACTGAGCTAAAAGGGCGTCTTGGGGCCATACTCTCAGGGTTTCTCCAGTCTCTGTCAGGCCAATAAGTCTGGTCTTTTTTGTGAGTTACAATTTTGTTCTACATTTTTCTCCAGCTCTGTCCAGGACCCTCTGTTGTGATCCTGTCAGAGCAGTCAGTGGTGGTAGCTAGGCTGGGCTCAGTCTGGTGGAGGCTGTGGTAGTTGTGGTCCATTAGTCCTCTGGACTAATCTTCCCCTTGTATCTTGTTTTCTTCATTCTCCTTTGCTTTCGAAGACATGAGACCAGTGGAGTATCTTAGATGGCTGCTCACAGGCTTTTAAGACCCCGGATGCTACTCGCCAAGGTAGAATGTACATCATTATCTTTATTATAAACTGTGTTATGCCAATTGAGCTATATGTACATGTTAATTCTTCTGTTCAGATAATCCGTATGGATCTCCATTGCCTATAAAATAAAGTCTGTACTCTACTGTGGTACTCAAAATCTTCATAGTTTAGCTCCAATTTCCATTATAGTTCATTTCTCACTATTTGTGATTTTGCATTCTTCCTTCCAGCTACTTCTAATACTTTTTTGATCAGACTTTTCTGTGACTTTGCTCAGCTCTTCACTTCTGTGCTACTATTTCCCCCTTTCAGCCTGTTGAAATCCTGATACCCTTCAAGGGTTAGCGCAGAGCCGCCTCCTTCGTTGAGCCATTCCTTAACTCTGAAAATGGAAGAAATAGTATCCTGTCTGATCCTGGCACATTGTGTTCTCCATTTAATCCTTAACATTTATCTCTATTTTATAGTTATGTATGTACCTTTTGTGTCTCCTGGCAAGGGACAGGGACCTTACATTTAGTACTTTGGATGTCGTATGTAAAATAAAATTTTTTAAATTTTAATAAAATTAGGCTATAATATAGGATGTACATTGATGCCATTGTAAAAAAAAATTGAAAAATGTACATCCAGATATATAAAAAGTCTGAAAGGAGATACACTGTACTAAGATATTAACAGTGAAATTATGGCTATTTTAAAACATCTTTTAGCTTTGTATTAAAAAATATTTATAATGAGCATATATTGTTTTTATAATAGAGAAAAATTGATTATAATTTTTAAAAATTAAATTCAGTAATTTTTTTATCTTTAAGATTTTGTTAGGTAAATAAAACATTATTTAAACAAAATAGTAAAATTTCTGAAATACCATGTATATCTGGCTTTACATGCACATTTACATGCTGCTGAATGCTGAAAATAAAGATAAGAAAGATAAGACTTGTAATAATATCATTATTTGGTAAAATAATATTAGGACAGTTTATAATAGTGTAAAGTGATACACACTTACCTAAAATGCTCATGTGAGATTAATGTGACTTTATTTTTCCTGTAAGATTACAAATAGGATAGAGTACAGGTAGTCCCCGATTTAATGATGAGGTTCTGTTCTGACGACCTAAGTCGAATACCTCATTTTTTTCCTTAGTTTTCATTATTATAGCCTTTTATTATCAAGATCTTTATAAATCCAGTCTTTCTTTGTTTTTGGGGGTTGGAGACATTACATACAAACTTACAGATATATTTGAATACATACATAAAAAATACACAAATCGTAAAAATTTACTCAGTGAAAAGTTGGACAACAATGGCGTTTTGTCAGTTGGGGTAGTAACTCCTCTGCTTGTGGAAGGTTCTGCATCATCTAGATTATCCCTGGGAATGGGGTTGGTGTTTCTAGTCAGAAAATTAGTGAGAGTTGTCTCTATGGTCCTTTTCTTTCTTTGTCCTCATATATTTTGCTGTAACATCTCTTTGCTTCCCAAATCTACGTATAGACTTACAGCAAAGCAATCAGTGTTTGGGTCCATGTTTTCAAGCAGCTCAAGCCCCTGATTTAGTTTAGAAAAAACTCTAGCTAATCCTTTCACTGTGAAATTACTTGACACCTTCTCTCCTTCCTTCTCCTCATTATTTCTTTCTTCAGCATTTCTTTCCTCTTCAAAATTCATTAAGTCCTGACCTGTCAGTTCACCTTCTTTGTGATCTATGAGCTATTCCACGTCGGCAATATCAAGTTCTGAATTCATTGTCCGTGCCATATGGACAATTTTCCCCCTGATCTCTTTTATCCTATTATTCTGATCAAATGCTTGGAGCCTGTTCACATAGCTCACCAAGTTTTTCCATATCCCCTGCATGCATTTTCCCATAACTTCCTCACAGGAAGATACAGTGTTCCAGCCTGCTATATGGCAGTGTTTTGAACAGTAAATCATAAATTGAACATCTGGAAGTGAACATCTGAGAATGATAACATCAGCAGATTACGTGCTGCAACATTGTAGTACATATTACTAACAACAGAATGTACAAAGAACAGGACCATCGTAAGTGCAGTTTGTCATAACTCGAATATATTGTAAATCGGACTGTCTGTAGTTGAAGGGATGCCAAGGGTGACTTAGTTTATCTCTGTACGTGTAGTATTGTATGCAGATATGAGGTGGTGTTATTTCTTTTTGCTTACATTTGGTGAGGGGACTATAAACTTTAATTAAATATATATTTTTAATTTCTTTTCCTCTCTTTTAGGACTCAAGGAAGAACCGAGGTAAGATTATTTATGCGAAAATTTTATTTAAAACATAATATTGTTGTACTGTGCATTACTAATAGTAATGTTTGCATTCTGGAAAACTTCTCATCAAATGAATGACTCATGCTCAGGAGCACATAAAGGCATAAACGCCACCCTTATGTGAATGAATGGACTCTTCTGGTTATTCATTCACGTATTTTTTTCCTTTGACCTAAATATCCCCTCTTGTTATTCTGAAACCTAGTATTTCTTCAGTGTAGCACAAACACTTGATTTGGATTTGGGGGGAGGGGGGTTAGATTGTGATCTATTAAGTCTAGGGCATAATTTGTAGTACCCAGTACATAGATAGATGTTTAGTAAATATTCATAATCTTCCTACATGGTTACGAGATTACTAATTTTATGTTTATTGTTCTTTTGGGGAGATCTGGTATACAGTAAAAATCATTTTGAAAGAATACCTACTGTGTCTTTCTATTCTAAACCTTAATATTGAATTATCCTTGTAAATATTTAGTTGTATTTGCTGAAATATTTAGAAGTAAAACATCATCATGTACTCAAACAGTAGTTATTAAAATCTGAAAAAGAAATTTATCTTCTGTTTATGGGGGTGCTTAAACTTTTCAGTGTAAATAGCTCACTTCCTCCCTTGCAATACAGTAGCTTTTAAAAAATTTTTAAAATATTCATCTGCTCAGCAAATACTCCTGTGTGCCAAGCACTTTGTTAGGCTATAAAGGTAGCAAGACGTGATCCCTTTACCTCAGAGACCTTAGGGAAAAATAATTTTATTCATGTTTTGGGAAGATTTTCCTCAGCCACAGACCAGGGAAGACATTGGAAAGCTATCTTTATAATGATAGAATAGCCCCATTATCTTGGTAAATGGGAATAGATTCTCTTTTTATGACTAAGTATTAAAGATTTTTTGATAAGGTTTAAAAAATATGTTTAATAAAGACTGGAAAAAAATTCAATTTTAAAAAACTATTTGATTTATAATAAAAAGTTTCTGTGCAGATACTTTGAAGACAGAAGTGTATTGTAATAAGCCTTTGTTAATGTGTCTGTTAGGTGTCATTTACTTTGAATGAAGATCTTGCAAATATTCATGATATTGGCGGAAAACCAGCTTCAGTCAGCGCTCCTAGAGAACATCCGTTTGTCTTGCAAAGTGTCGGAGGACAGACATTAACAGTATTTACTGAGAGCTCATCAGGTAAGTGGGAATGGATTTATTTAATTTTGTGTAGATTTACTGTCTCAACATGCTCACATGTTTCTTTTTCTAAGGTCATTATTAAGGCTGTTCTACCTAACATTCTGTCTATTTCTGTTATTCATATCATGCTCTCTCTCTTCTCTGTAGCTTTCTTGTAGTTAATGAAATTGTGCCATTATTCATGAAAGGTTTAATTTCCACTTTGGGTGTAAAGAAATAGAATAAAGCAGATGAGAGAATATGGTGCATCAAGCTGTCTTCTAAGATGTTGAAGAAACAGTGTTCTGAGTTTTGCCATGATAAGGTCATCATTCTTTGTCTTGGTGAATTGATACTCAGCAACTGTAAGTTGTGTTTAAAAACATACTGCTTAATATTAGGGAATATTTTAGTCTGGATTTTTGCTCCTGTATACTTTCTATACTAAGCAGGTCTTTTTAATGCATAAAGATCAACTGCTTTCAACTAGTATTGACTCCCAAGAAGCTCTTTGTAGAGTATAGTTTTTAAGTTATGTGTGTTTGCCATGATATTTTCAACTGTTCAGTAAATCAGGAGCAAGAGTTTTAGTTGGTGAATAAATAGAGTGAGCTTTTTTGCGGCATATGTTCACAAGTATATGTTTGTTTTTGTTGTCTCGTGGTTTTTATCCTTCATTGAGTTTAGAGTATTACTATTAAAGCAACAGGCCACCTCATTAGTTTAACAGAGCTAATTTTCTCATATCTAATTCAAGAAGTTTATTGGTTATGTAAAAGAAAAAAATCTATGATTTTGTTGTGTCTCATCAAACCTTTCAAAGATAGCTATATGAAATTATAGAATAATAAGAATGTCATTGTTTGTAAAAAAGAAATATCCTCATATAAAGTATTTGTGGCGTTCAAGGATTACCAGTGGCAACATAAACTGATTTATTTTGCATATAGAATCTAACAAAATGGTAAAGTATAAATTTTCTGACATGTTTTAAATTTTGTTTTATTGCATTATCTTGATGCTATAATAATTTGTAGTATAGTATTGTGAGAGGTAGGGCATATTTCATTTTATTTTATTTTTGTTGTTGAGAATATACACATCAGAACATATACCAATTCAACAATTTCTACATGTACAATTCAGTGACACTGATTACATTCTTCAAGTTATGCAGCCATTCTCGCCCTCCTTTTCTCAATTGTTCCTCCCCCGTTAACATAAACTCACTGCCCCCTAAGTTTCCTATCTCCTCTTTCAAGTTGCTGTTGTCAGTTTGATTCAGTATAGATAGTTCTTAAAAGAGCACAATGCTCAAGGAAGATATTCTTTACTAGTTAAGCTAAACTGTTGTTTCATTTTAAGAAGACTTCAGGGAATCTTTTTGGATTGAGGCTTAAAGATTATTTCAAGGCAGTAGTTTTCAGGGTTCATCCAGCCTCCATGGCTCCAGAAAGTCTGAACTGCGTGAGAATTTTTAATTCTGTTCTACATTCTCCCCTCCCTCCCACCCCCCAAATCAGGATTTTTCTGTGGAGAATATTAAAGTCACAATGTCTTCAACACATGCATTGTATACAGGGAAAAAAAATTCATTCAGCAAATATTTATTGTATGCTACATTGTGCAAGGCATGGTCTAGGCACACCCAAGGAACCTGAAATTTGCCTTGTAATTGATGGGATTTAATAAGACTTATGGTGCAGTGGTTAAGCGCTTGGTTGCAAATTGAAAAGTCAGTGGTTCGAACCTACCAGCTGCGCCACGGAAGAGAGATGTGACAGTCTGCTTCCAGAAAGATTTACAGCCTTGGAAATCCTGTGGGACAGTTCTACTCTGCCCTGTAGGGTTGCTATGAGTCTAATTCGACTCGACGGCAGCAGGGTTTTTTTTTTTAAATAAGACCCATTAAACCTGTGAGGTTTTCTCTACTCTTGTGGTTGTACCTGGAGTGGAAGAAGGCCTGGCACCAATATGACAGAAAGGAGGCAGAGCCTTGATGAAAGTTTGAGGTAGGGAAGCTTGAACTTCTTTGTAGCAAAAGGCACTCTATTTCAGAATTTTTATATCTTACTAATAAGTAGCTAGTTTTTCCAAAGCATGATTTATTGCTGGTACTTTTACAAAAAAAAAACAGTAGTAAGCTAGGATTTGTTATCCTCAAAATTAATCTTCCATTTTTAGTCTTTTAAATCCCTTAGCTATTGTTGAACCCTTTTTGAACATTTTGTGTTCACATTTCTAGTTAGATTGTACTCTAGACTGACTGTGGTATTCTAAGGATTATCTTGGCAAGGATATGGGAAAGGATCAAGATTGTCATCCTTGTTCTAGAGTTTGGACAATATGTTCTTGCTTTGTAGAACTGTGATAATACAAGCACAGGTCTAAGTTGTGTGTAGATGGTATACACTATTAACAAATTGTTTACTTCTTAATCACATTAATCATTTCTGTTTCATATTGTCATTTGACTTTCTTGCCCCTTTCTGTAAAATGGGGATAAAATTATTTATGTTTATATATAAATATGAATATATTTAAAACACTTAGAACAATGCTTGGTGTATAGTAAATAGTAAATGTTAGCTGTTGTTATGACTGTTATTAACATTAGATCTTATTTTTAACCTCTTTAGGTTTCAAGTTTGTTTTGAGGCAGGTTCATGCATTTTAGTTAAGTCTGAGAGTATATCACTTAGTAAAATTCAGTTGATGGCGATTTTTATGTGCAGTATTTTATGATTGCCTGGATGACAAAAAAAAAAAAAGCTTTAGGGTTGTTATCACCAAATTATTTTACTTTCTAAGGAACCTTACATCCTTTGTTTTTCTAGTCATTAAGACATTAGTTCTACAGCTGGATTTCTTGGAGCTCTAGGAAGTCATAAGTAGACAGCAGTAGGTCTGTGATTGTCATAATATTTAAAATATTAGATATACATGTACATGCATGTTCTTCTGTAAGACAGGACCAAAGCTTTCACTGGAGTCTCAGAGGGGTCTGTGACCCAAGAAAGCTTCAGGGCAACTACTCTAGTGTAATGTTATCTTGGTTGGTCATGAACTTGCCAAAGTATAAGTGACTAAGCCTTTTTACGGTGAGTAAGCCATTTATCTTGCATTGAAATTTTTGATTAGCCTTCCTTCCTCCTCCACATTTCCCTGGGAAACGCTAAATAAATGATCTATTTCCTTATTAAATATTTTTGCAAGGATCTCTATTATCTATTACCCTTACCTCTGTGGAAATGCCTCATTTGTTTGGCCTTTATTTTCCCCCTCTTGGGTCTTCAGTTTAGTATTTTTATTTACTATTTCCCAATAAATATATAGAGATAACTTCTGTTTCTTCTGTGTCTGGCACCTTTACCTTTATTTAAACTTAGGTTTTCTTCTTTATTATTGCCAATTCTAGACTAAAAGTTGTTGTTCATTCATCTGTTCAACCAGTGTTTTTGGTGTTAGGCCCTGTGCTAGAGTAAGACTAGACTCCTGCCTGTGGGGCAACTGGTATGTGGAAAAATAATTACTATAATAGTGCTTAATTGAGTTGTGTACAGAGAAGAAAAAAAATATGCACTTTCCCTGAAGGAACTGGGAAGGACTTCAGAAGTAGAGATCATATTTGAACTGGCCCTTAAAGTATAAGAATAAGAATACCTGCATAGGAGGGACAAAAGTGAAGGTAAAATTCTTTTTTTCTAGCCTTCAGATATCCTACTCTTAACATTGGTTTCTCCTACCCTTCATACTCTGCCATATCTATCTAAAATAGTCCTGATTGGATCAAAGCAAAAAAGCTTCTAGTGTAGAGATGAAAAAAAATTTGAACTGGGGCAATGGGAATGGAAAAGAGAGATCATGTTCTAGAGATATTAGCAGTAATTTTGACAGTTTTTGCGGATGAATTGGCTGTGGGGGAATTGGAAGAGTGGGAAATCTAGACTGGCTTCCAGGCTTTTTTTGGCTTGAGCATCTGGGTGGATGATGAAATCGTTACTGAGTCAGGAATTATTGGAAGAAATGGGCAGGGTTAGAGGTGATAGAAACACAGTGACCTTTTGCCCTCAGTTTCATTATCTTTGACCCATTTATAGCAGTTCATTAATTCAGCAAATTGCTATTTGTGCCTACTTTTTGCAGGCCCTCTTTTAGGCTTGCGATACTTTAGTGAGCAAATTCTCTGCCTTTCTGGTGCTTACATTTTAGTGAAAGGAGACAACAACAAACAATAAACACAATAGACAAGTAAATTATATCACAGGTTAAAAGATGATAAGTTCTGTGGGAAAAAAGAACAGGGAAAGTAAGATCAGGAATACTAGGTTGAGAGTGGGGCTTGCAGTTTTAAATAGTGTGGTCACTGTGGCCCTTGTTGAGAAGGTGGGTTTTGAATAACATCTTGAAGGATGTCCAAGAGTTAGCCATGTGGAGTTAGTTAGCCAATTAGGAGTTTTAAAGTCTGTTTTATTCTGAGATTAGTATTGCCACTCATGCTCTTTTTTGGTAGCTGTTTGCCTGATATATTTTTTTCCAACTTTTGATTTTTAATAAATTTACATCTTTGTTTCTAAGGTGTGTCTCTTGTAGACAGCATATTGATGGATCCTGTTTTTTTCCTCCATTCTGTCACTCTCCATCTCTTTATGGGTACATTGAGGCCACTTACATTCAGTGTAGTTATTGATAGATGTGAGTTTATTGATGTCATTTTGTAGCGCTGTTTTTTGTGGTGCCGGCGTTTTCTTTGTTCCTCTTACTCTCCTGTGCTGAATTCCTTTTGTTTGTGGACTTTTTTTTCCATTTCTTTTGTTTTTGTAGGTTTTGTTTTTACTGAGACTTTATGTTTTTCCTCTTTATTTTTATGAGTCGGTTTGTTAACTTTCTTTGTGGTTACTGTGAAATTTACCCTTATCTTTCTAAGTTTGAAGCAGTCTATTATTACTTGGTATCGCCTTGCCTTCCTCTCCATTAGAAGGTTCTGTACCTACACCGTTTATTCCCTCTTTTATTGT